GGTGTATGCTTTTTTGCATCCATTGCTTGCTGGGATGGGCTCCAGCTCCCGCACAACCCTGAATTGAATGAAGTGGTTTAAAAATGGATGTCTCATGGCATAACAAAGCAAAACTAAAAACATTGGAAACATATTAATACTCATTAATTTCTCATAACCATACATTTCATTACAAGCACAGGAGTCATGGAGTATGATGAAAGAATCAGTTGTCTCAATCTCTCTAAAATTGTGATTTCCTAAGTTTTTTTCATTATTGCCAGTACTGTGCTGCAGTGATGACTCAATGAAGAGGGAGACTGAGGCAATCTCTTTGATGTTGTTTATCCAAATGTTTTGATGTTCAAGCCTTTTCTATATTCTTCTATACTCGTTACCTTGTTGAATATCCGGTCACATCTACAAGTGGCTCTACGCAGGTTTCTTCCTTATCTGAATATCATTATTAGCCAAGTATAATTTCACCCCCTTCAATTCACCAAGAAAACAGCTTTCTAAAGGCATCAGATGTCTAGACAAGCATAGGTGCTGTGACACAGTCATATCCTTCGCTTTTCTGTAGGAGCATGAAAAAGGGTTTCTCTATTTTCTGTTTTATCCCTGTCTGAGGTAAACAGAACATGTTAAAGCTAAGTACCTGTCAGCTTCCCAATGTGGTGAAAGTTTAAGTGTACTAGCCTTAATCACTTTTTTGAAGAGGTTTCAAAACAAGTGTCAGTCTTAGACATACCCCAAGACAGGAGTAACTCGAGCCACATCATTCACTATTCTGTGCTTCACACAGCTTGCCTTTTAACTTTCTGGAGATGTTGGTTGGCTTTATTGTTTTAACATTGATAAGAAGGAGCTAAAAGTTAACATTGATTCTATTCTAAGATCCTATTCTTCCTGAATTTGTAATACTTTGCATTAGTGTAAATAACCCTTTGACTAGAACACCAGTTTAAACACCAATTATGCTTTACTGAATAGTTATTAAGAGATCAGTGTAAATGAATAAAAATTGGATACGGATCTCTCAGGTTTGAATCTCTGAATGTGATCATTGTCTTATCTACGGATTTAAACTCTTCCCTTAACAAATGTTGATTGACGGCTGAAACAAATTCACCTCATGTCACCCAGACCGTCAACTTGATTGCTCTTCATCCTTATGAAACATAATACATGGGACTACAATACATCCACACCTTTCCAATTGGTCTGTAGCCTCAAAAGAAATAATATATATGTATGGGAAGGTAATGACCATATGACTCATACAAGGAAATGTTAAATTATTGGTTATGACATGCACAAACGTCTCTGTTTCATCTACCTCTAGAGTTTAGCTGATTAAAGATAGGGTAAGCTGGTTGGCTTTTAGGCAAAAGTACTCTGATGCTAAAACCTGATATTTGAATATTGTTAACAAAAAAACAGAGGAGCTATATTGTCAGCACGTTCCCAGGTGTTGTGTTAACAGGACTCTGGTGAAGAGGGCTCAGCTGCTGCGTGCTAGTCTTAGTTGAGGGTTCAAGGGTCTGGCCTGTAATTGTGTCAGGGTTCAAAAAAGGGAGAATGGGAGTTGCTTGCAATCTGCCAAAATAAACATTTATCTCGACTTTTACATTTGTATTGTTGTTTTTGGAGTTCTGGAGATAACAGCAGCAGTGTGAAAATAGAATTGTGGGTGTGCACTGGGGGGAGGAATAGCCGTGGAACAGGAAGCAGTGGGGAAAGGGTGGTTCTCCGTGTATATGGTATCAATAACCAGACTTTGCTTGAGAGAAAGGGACGAAAACAAAAACAAGCACCTTAGATGTGGAAAAAGCTGAGAAGTATAAGCTTAACTCCGCAGGTTATCTGGATTTAAACAGTCACAGTGTTACATAGCTGTCATCGCCTGTGTAATTAATCATGAAGAGACTTGCCTGTGTGATGAGAGCGACTGTAGGCATTCCTTCATTCCATGAGTGTCTGAGAGCTGTTCCCCCTGCTGCCTCCCTATGAGGGCCTGGTGGTACTGTGCTTATCAGATGCAGCCTCTTCTCCACATAGGCAAGCTTGGATCCTCTATTTGGCACATTGCAGATAAAGCCATTTCTTATCACTGTAACATTTTTTGAACTGCACAGATTGTCTAATTGCTTGTTGGGAATCTGTTTTGTTTTTTCCCACGTGTTGCCTTATTTCAGTGTGTTTTATCCTTCGGCATTGGGTGAACAACAGGCAATTGCTCGTGACCAAATGAGAAGAGAAGAAAGTTCTGGGCTGGATGTGTTTGTGTGGCCAGGTAGCAAACCTAAAGTGAGGATCTGCTAGGCCTGCTTTATCACACGCATGTGTGTCTCAAGAGGGTGATGCCCTGGTACTATAAATAATATATATATATAAATCTGAGATGTGCCGATGTGAGAAGACAAAGGCTCTTCTGTTTGTCTGGAGGGTGTATTTGTGTTTGTGAGCGCTCTTTTCCCCGTTGCCTTGTGGTATCTTGCACGTACTCTTGGTACCTGTCTCGCCACACATACATACCTGTGCTGTAAACAGCGCCTACAGAACTTCACTCCTGATTTGGGTCTCCCAT